GATATTGAAGAAGGAGAAATTATAACTAAAGATAATGAGAGAGATAAGAGAGGAGAGGGAGAGGGAGAGAAGAAAAGGAGAGAGAGAGAGAGAGAGAGAGAGAGAGAGAGAGAGAGAGAGAGAGAGAGAGAGAGAGAGAGAGAGAGAGAGAGAGAGAGAGAGAGAGAGAGAGGAGAGAGAGAGAGGGGGGGAGAGAAGGGGGGAGGAATGAGAGAGAGGGAGAGAAATCGGTACACTAAGACACTCGGAGGAGGAAACCGAACGTGAATCCGAAAATCCCCATTCACCATAGCCATATGCATGTCTTTCGTCCTCCATCCACCGTAAAGCTCAGCTGTGGTATCCTCTGGCATCTCTGTCACTCCCTAGCTTACTTGCCATCGGGGACAACTACCTCATGACGCAGGTGACGCGACGGCGGCTGCGAAGAAGGTACTAAAACGCACTTTCGTTTCGAAGCTTCGAAGCGGATCCGAGAGTCGGGTTCATCGCAAATGAATCATGTTTGTAGTACTGTGCCGAGTAGTACTTTATAAGGAGGAAAGTGTATTCATATGAATGGCCTCTCTCGGATTAAAGATAATAGTAATAAAAAGTTATGTCTTCTGTATTGCTTTCAGAATTATTATCATCTTTATTATTCCAATACTGGTGGATATCATCATCATTATCATTACTGTTGTTATTGTTATCATCTCTATAATTATTTTTTTATCATCAGTGTTATTATTATCATTGTCATGAAGGTATCATTATTGTTGTTTTATTGTTGTCACCTTTATCATCATCGTCATTATTTCTACTATTAGTTTCATATTATGTTTACCATTAATATTGTTATCACTGTTATCACTATTATCATAACAATTATGATAATTGTTACTATTAATACCATCCTTTATAGCAGTAGTAGTAAGCCTGCTAAAAACAGTAAATGTTATCACCATTGTTGTCATTAACAAAACCATCGTTATCACTGCCATCAAAGTGCAACTAATTATAGAAATCAAACCATGTAAAAAAAAAAAAACTGGATTATATTAATACAATCTAGTTGAAGAATAACTTAGAAGTGAATTAAAGAAATAATAATAACTAGCAGTGCACAAAAGAATTTTCCACTGATTTCTGGTGCATCATCTTTTAATCTTATCAAAGACACTCAACAATAACCGGGCGACACAGATCACACACGTCTACACAAACATACCTACACACATCTCCTAAAACACGTGAGCACAAGCAATCAACACGTAAGCACGAATGCACACATGATCATACATACATACATAAACACACACAAAATACTTCATATTCTCATATGCAAACGTACACTCATATCTAAGATTTATTTACCATGGTTGAAATATATTAGAACACGTTAGAAATGTCTTTTTTAATTCTTGAGAATATGCTCGGTCTTGTTGTACATAATGTAATGTTATATGTTGTCGATGTATATAAACCGTAAAATACCAATCGTTAATTATTGTCATTATTAGTTATACTGTGTATTCATTTATTTGTATATTTTTCCTCAATGTTTCTGTAATATTTTATTGCATTTATTTGCAAAATTGCACTTGAAAATGTTGAAGGTGAAGATTTTGATGTCTGAATAACAACGTCTTTCAATTGTACCTCAATTATTTTTCACCAACCTGTCGCTTTGCATATAATTAATACCATTAATTTATCAGCCTGCCACTTACTTGTATTAAATGCATATTAGCCTTAAATAAACGGATTAGAATGAAAATTTACAGTGTCAAATAAGGCATTCATTCATCGTTATTTGTAGCATTATCGTGAATATTATTCATAGCTATCCATGAACCGCGTACATATAGGCCTACATTTCTCTACTCGATCTCCCTCATCCTTCCTCTCTTCCACCATCACTGATATAACGATCCGGAGAGTGTTCTAGATTTCGAGCATCTGTCCCGCCAATCATATCAGCTTGTTTTTAAGAGGGATTCGAGAGGGGAGAGGTCTCTGTGCCAGATTTGCTTCACCGGCGTGCGTGGAAAAAAAAAACGGCGTGCCTGCCCGTTCTTAAACTTATTGTAGTTTAAGAGATCTCGTAGAACCGATTGGAAAACTGGGTAAGAAATTTGGCCCTCAGAAAAAAAAAAAAAACTGAAGCGAGAAAAAAAGGTGTTGTAAATAAAATCTCTTTAACACATATTCGTACACACTTTTTTTTCTCTTTTTTTTATTCATTTTCTGAACCCTCAAGGTTTCTCGCTGTGATAAGAAATTCTCTCTTTTTACTTTACCAAATGATGAACCCATTCTTTATGTAATATCATGAAGCTGTTGCGTCGCATAACATTCAGTTTGAAAGCTATATGATAAAAATAGGATGAAATATACATACACGATATATTTTTTTCATAATAAGAAGGCTCATTAAAGAATCTATAATCCTTATTAGCATCAACAATCAGTGTTATCTTTATGTTTTACGAACACTTAATAATATCTACCACTTTTT